CAAAATTGTATATACCCTATATACTTCTTTTATTCATCAGGGGCTATAGTTGGGTTCTGCATGTGGAGAAAACAAATGCAGTGAAACAGCCAATAGTAAAGAGATATCAGCTAAGGGAGTACATTAAAACCACATTCCTAGTGGAATGAAAATCACACACATACCACAGCAAACAGACAGGAACTTCCGACAGGACTGCAAAAAATTGGATGAGATACTAGGATATCAAGCAATGTAAGCAAACTGCCATAACATGTGATCTTTTAAATTGAACAGTTATGAGTTATGACCTTTCCCATTCCGTCATTTATTTTCCGCTTGTCCATGCTATGCTAATTTAAGAGTGTTTTTCACCATGACACATTTTCATATACTTCTTGCAAATGTAATAATTTTTTTAAATGGGGAATATCAGCTCCAGGAGATCTTTTCAAAATACATTTTCAGTGCATCCATATTAGCTTTAATAAGTTAACTGCTTCATGTCTGTTTTAATGGGATTTGCTCTTCCTTAGAGTTTATGGAATTTGCTCCAAGTTTGGGTTGCCAACTTTAAACAGGGTTCACCACACATTCAACAAACCAAACCCAAGCAGATTTGTTTATCTCTTATACTGAAGCCCTACTCCCTTGTTTTATTCACATTCCTCCAATGGACAGGCATGTATGTACAGTCAGAACATGTATGTGGGGTAACAACACGACTGGAACAGGCCCACTGCTCAGATCTCCATGGCGCTATGAGGCCCTATCCATCCCCCCCCCCAACACCCAAGGCTCGTGCTTTAGTAGGGCCTAGAGTGCAAATTTGTTCTACTTCAATCTACCACTACGTTATCCTCTATGGACTCTCTGCTTTTTCCCAACTTAGGCAATTGTTGTTTTGCGTGGGCCTTCAAGAGTGAGCCTACCACCTGTTACTTGATTCTGGGTGCAATTAGACTTCCCATTTTCTGGTTGCAGATACTTAGCCCTCTTTACAGTTGGTCATGGGCACTGCTGGCCCTTTTCATCTGGATTTCTGGTGAGCTGTGCAATTACACCATTTTCTGCGCTCACTACCATCCCCTCACAAGTACTACTGCTGATTGACTACACTGGAGGAATTCTGCTCCAACCAAAGGTCATTGCCCCATACCCTTTCAAATATGTATGTTTTGCTGGTAGCCCCACCAGGCATCTACCATCTGCCCTTTCTTGAAAAGGGGAGCCACATTTAGGTTGGACGTTTAGTGATGCTTAGAGGATGATAATCATTCAGTTTTCCTTAAAGTCTTCAATCTGTACGAGAATCCAAGAAACCAATTTTAAGATCCTTACTCAATGATATCATACCCTGTCTCTTTTGCATAAATATTTTCATAACACCATGGATTGATGTTGGCGGTGCCACGAGAATGGGGAATATTGTTACATGTTTTTTGTTCCTGCCCCAAACTCCCCGGTTACTGGAAAGAGGTCATTCAAAACTTTACTGATTATGTTATTTCGAAAGACCCAGCCTTCCTCCTTCATGCTTCCAATATAAGCACCAAAATTTTAAAGAAACCAGTGCTTTGCCATCTTCTCAGCGCTACCAAACCATATATCCCTCTCACCTGGAAAAGTACACAGCCCCTCTCCAATGAACTCTGGCTCAAGGTCGAGAAGCTGAATCTGATTAAAGACCTGGTACTTACTTCACAGCATAAACAAGACGTGTACTCCAAAACCTGGACTTTGTGGACCATGTTTGTGTACTCCGAGGAGGGTGAAGCTCTCTTTTGATATGAGCTCTGCTAGATGAGGAAGTATTTAGTACTTTCCCCTAGGTCATGCCAACGATACTTCCTCCACTTTTTTTTTGCTTCTTTTTTTCTGCTCCCCTTCTTCCCTCCTTACCTTGCTTCCTCTTTCTGTTTCTGCATTTCTTTCTTCCCTTTGTACAAAAATATGGTGGTCCCATTTTCTAACATTAGACTACACTGTGTCTATTTTTTTTTTTCTTTTTGATGTGACAAAACCATCCTTGGTCAGGTTGCTGTATGAACTCTATGTGTGACTCTGTACCGTTTGTACCCCAACCATGCCATCTCTTATTCGCCACCAATTACAATAACTCAGTACTCTGTGCCCATGGATGTAACTTATTTTGTATTTTACATCTTTTGGTTTGATTACCTTGGATACTACTTTTTCTTAAAATAAAAATATGTAAAAAAAAATTAGCTTTCGGACAGTCATATCAAATCAATAGATAACATTTTCTCATATTACAAATTGTAGTTTTAAATACAAATGTTGATACTGATTAGCTGTAAGAAAAATATCTAGTCATTTATGGAATCCCATTACATCATTTATGTTGCCATTGTTACCTTATGTGGTAGCCTATTCCCCAGCTAAATCACCTTTAATCTAAAAAAAATTCTCCTCTTAAAAACATATTGTGAAATTTTCTTTCCTCCTCTTCTTTTTTCTGTCATTCTCAACTTTGCATGGTGCTTAGGATAAGAACATAATTTGGCAAATCTGTATACCTACCTTGAAAAGGTTTAAACATCACAGTTTATTCATCACTAAGGAAAATTAATTATTAAGGTCTGGTAAAACCAATATTCCATATGGATTCATTCACATTCACTACACATTGCACAATTTGCAACATTTACCACATCTATAATGCATAATGCATAGTAATGGCATTTATTTAGTAAATATGCAGTAAATCATTTTAAATAACAAAGGGTATAGAAGGTTATTATCTAGCAAAGAATCTGAATGTCTGTTTAAAGAAATTGTCTTTTATCTTTTTTATGAAAATATAATTAAATAATATGCAAGAAATCATCCCAAGAAATCTGTAACTAATTATCTTTGCTCACAAAAATGTAAAACCACTGATTTAAAAGCTTAGTTTATCCATGGTCTAAATCATTTTACTATAATTTCAGCATTTTTCCCCTTATTTTATTTTGTCTAGCTTATTTTGCATACAATCTGCTTTCAGATTTTTGTTCATCTTTAGTTATTGGTTACATAGCAAATGTTATATAAATGTATACAAATTATTATTTTTTTTTATAGAAAAATGTTTTAGTGTATATATTAAATACAGGGATTAGAGAATGCACCCAAGTTTGGTTCTAAGTGGTTGATCAAATCCTGCATAAGGTCTGAAAATTCTGAACTCATCCCCAACTAGTATATCCTCACTCCAAAGAATCTATTTTTAAAGAATATTAGGTTCTACAAAAGGTTTATAGATGACCTGATTCTAGTTTGGGAAGGCGATCCCGCAAATATTCCAACTTTTGTTCAGTATATAAATGAGAATTTATGGGGACAAACTTTCACAAGCAATGCCCACCCTAACATCATTGAATATTTAGATGTAACACTAGAGGGCAGTATTGATGGTAGGGATATTCACTAGAAATTTCTTGAAAAAGGTTAATAGCAACAGCTATCTGGACTTTAGAAGTTGTCACAACAAACCATGACTCAAAAATGTGCCATTCAGTTAATTTAAAAGACAGAGGAGAAACTGTTCCCTCGAGGTAGACTTTGACACACAAGCTCAAGTACTGAAGAATAATTTTCTGGCCAAATACTACCCAAATGCTTACCCAGAGCAAATGCCTACTTCCTGCAGGAAAAAAGAGAATACAAATTCCACTGGGTACACTCCAAATTTCATGACCCAATACAATGGCCAACATTGGTTGAGCAAAAAAATCTTGGAAAAACACTGGCACGTGCTTAAAGCTGACCCACTTATAAAGAAAGATCTACCAACGCATGTCAAGATCACCTACTGCAGATCACCCACCCTAAAAAACAGTTTGGCACCCAGCAGAATGCAAGACAATGAAACAAGATGCCCCACCAGCAAACCAGCACTCCATAACTACCATAACTGGGTGCTTCCAATGTGGAGTTCCCAAATGCCTGGCATGCCAGTCACTTGACAAAAGAACCCATAGTGTTATTGCCAGAAATTGCATTGAATGGTCCATTAACACATTTCCTAATTGTTCATCTATGTACTCAGGTGTCCATGCAATTTGCAGCATGTTGGAAGAACAATCCAGACCTTCTGACAAAAACTAAACAAGCACAGATCAAACATCAGGCTGGGGTTTAAGAAATACAGTTTCTCAAGGATTTCTTAATACATCACAACAAAGATTTGCAGTTAGTATCTGCAACAATTGTGGAACAAATCCCTGTTTCCAAGAAGTGCAGCAGATTTACGAGACTTTACAAACGAGAAACTTTTTGGATACATAAACTGAACACACTTATCCCAGATGGCTTTAATGAGGCCACTGAAACTTTCTAATAATCACTATGTCATTGTTCATCTAGTAGATACCCGACTGAACTAATGCATTCCCCACTTGAATATAAGGTTGTATGTGATTACTCATTTGACAATATGACTTTGATGGTTTTTTAACATTTTAGAATGCACAAAAACAACTTTACGTTATATCAAAGAAACCCAAACAAACATAATTTTGCATTTTTTAAACACACACTGTCCACTCACTGTTTACACACTACAGGCTTTACACATCCAACACTATCTTTTCTTTCATGATTGGCTCAGACCCTCTCATTGTCCACCAGACACACTCCTTCAACCCTCCCCTGTTCCTTTTGGAGCCATTTTAGTGTTAAAAACATGACTGCTTGGCTAGCATTGTTGCTGCCAAACAAGTTGCTGATCAGGCCTTTGCTTTTAATTCACACTGGAATAAGTAAGGGAGCCTCTCAGCAGATCTTAAGAATATTAATTTTACCTAACACTCACCCTGCTTTAATTCTATCGTTCCTATAGATACCAATTTAGGTCCAGTTCACTTCTGGTCTGTTCACTTTGTTGCAAATCAAGGTAATTCACAGTATTATTTCACTCAGATCTGTCTCTAAATGTAAACCATCAACATGAGTCGGAATATTTGATCACAGACACACTATTTTACTGTTCATACCACATACAGCAATGGTCTGTACCAGGGGCGGACTGACCATTTGGAAACTCTGGCACTGCCCGAGGGCCCGGGGTCAGTAGGGGGCCCCATGAGATGCCCCTGGTACCTTTTTCATAGGCTTTTTTGAGTTTGGGCAAGGACACAGGGGCCCCATGATCCCCCTATTGCCCGGGGCCCCATGAGTTGTCAGTTTGCCCCTGTACATGATCCAGCTCTTCTGGGTAGGGAGGCATGTACACCCATCAGTCCAGCTGTGCTGTGATTAGTTAAAGCACAAGCCGATCAGTGGGTCCCAACCAATGACTGATGGCTGCCCCTGGTCTGTACATACACAAATGATCTGCTACTGATGACATATTCCCCCAGATGTACTTTATAGCCTGTGGGTATACAACCTTGTGAACACCTTCTAGATTGCACACACAATACAATCAGATTCCACATTAGTTCTTGGATTCACCACCAATGGAATGGGTCATGTGAATTTTACCCCTTAATGCATGAGATTTTTAAGACTGGGTGGTTTTCTCATATTTTGTCATTTTGCTATTTATATATAATATATAAGAAGTATTTGCGAGCGCAGATTTGAACGTAAAAGCAGCTGGCATATAAAGGCAAGCCTCTGCACCTTCTATAGACAATAAAACAATAAATATGCAGCGCTAAAATGATGACATATAGTATACAGTAGTACAATTGAAAAACTAAATGCAAATATAGTGAGCGCTGCTGAGGCGCATAGGTAGTGGAGTGAGGATTACGTCTTATTATGACGTTACATTGTGTCCATAAAACATATATATAGGTGACCAAAGTGAATATGATTCAATGTAAAAAACAGTCCAAAATTGGGGGTGATCCGTGCTGGTAACTTCAGGTGCGGTGAGCCAATGAGACTATGCACTTACCAGTAGTAAATGCGCAATACAGTAATCCTTAATAGGTCATCTGGGTCTGGTCTAGGGCTGCGGGGTCATCAGGCTCCAGGTGGACTCATAGGAATGATAATGCGCACACATAGGGGTCACACTCTGCTTACATAACCTTCAGAACAGCTCCAGGGAAATACTCCAGATGAAGTTCCATCTTATAAGGCTTCTTCAATGTAGATAAGAGTAGTCTTTTCTTTACAGAAACCTTTTCATGTTGGACAGGAATATTAGAATTCAGGCTACCTGACTCCTGACCTGGCTGCTGACCTGCATATATATTATTAATATTTCTCTCAATACGCTGGGGCATCTGGTCATTTTTCACATCTTGTTTAACCAGTAGCTGTGTATTTTTCTTCTTTCTACTCTTGTTCACAGCCACCATATCACCTTTGTTATGATCATCAAAATTTGGATTGCCTGTGGGAGAAAAGAAAAAGGCAGCAGTAACTGCAGCACCATGATCCTGCTCAGGTGTGCAGAGAAACACGTGCAGCATGGACTGCAGCAAACAGACACCAGCTCAGGTGCAGCACATGAGGTTCTGACGTCTCTAGTTATAGAACTCCTCAGCCCCAAAAGACCACCAGAAGGGGCTCACCACCTTGTTGGTGCATTTAGCAATCTAAGATGCAGGACTGCGCCTGGGGGAGGCTGAATCAAAATGGATTCCGACTCAGTCTGCAGGTAAGGACTTATCGCAACATCACGGTCTTGCAGGTGCAGATCTTGAGGACAAAAATGACAGATTTATTGTTTTATTGTCATTTATATATGTTTTTACTAGGTTTAAAAAAATTGGTATAAAAGGTAGTGAAAATTATTTTTGTTCTAATAATTTTTTTACAATTGTAAAATCAGATTGTATAATGTATAGTTCAATTTATACATTTATCATTTTACTCATGTTTTCATACATCTACTCCTTTTAGATCAATTTATTGCCAAGAATGTATGTAGTGATTATGACTATTATTGTTGGTAGTACTATCATTATTATTACTGTTATTATTATGATGATGATTATGCTATAATTTTTTTATTACTTATCTATTATTTATAATTTATTTATTTTTAAATTTGTGTTGTTTTTTTTAAATGTTTTATGATTACACAATCGGGTTATATAATGTATGGTTTTGAGAGTTTTTACCCAATTTTTTTTAAATTAGGCTAACATATCACCCATGATGTATCATTTTAATAAGAGTTATTTAATAGCAGTGATTAAGATTATTATTATTTATTTATTTGAGGGGGGGGGGTTTCAGCACCCATATTCTCATTTTTGTTCAGCACTCATGTTCTCGTTTTCATGTAATTATTTTGATACTCTCATTACAATTGACTGTTTGGTTTTAATTATGACACCATGGAGGGGACATTGTATTAATGTCAGATTGATATGAAAATCTTCTTATGTTCTTTTTTACTCTGATGAAGGGGACACTTAGACCCCCCAAATGCGTTGGCTACTTCTCAAACTATACCCTCATCCTTTAATTGAATAAAGTTGTATCTGGAAATCTTAGCAGTGCTGTGGCACTTCAATATGTAAGGGGCGGGGCCACCCGGGGACATCATCCAAGTGACCCCGCCTCATGTGACATCATTGATGTCACATGGGGTGGGGTCACATGCATGATGTCCCTGGGTGACCCTGCCCCTTTACATATTTAAGAACTGCCAAACCACTGGAGCTGTCAAACGGCAGGATCCATTGCCAGGAATGGGCCCTTTTTTTTTTTTTTCCTTTTTTCAGGTCGACAGAGGCGTACATGATTGACGTTGGATCTACTGCAGGGATATTCTTTTAGATTTTTATTTTAATAAAAGACTTATCAAAGCCCATGTCCTATACACTACACTTTTTGTTTTTTGTGTGAATGAGTAGAGGTACCATGTGTCCAATACTCATTCACATATGGGGGGGTGGGATCTCGGGGGCCCCCTTGTTAAATTCCGATAAGCCTCCCGCCCGCAGACCCCACAACCACCGGCCAGGGTTGTAGGGAAGAGACCCTTGTCCCCATCAACATGGGGACAAAGTGCTTTGGGGGCGGAGCCCCCCTGCCCCAAAGCACCCCCCTATGTTGAGGGCATGTGGCTTGGTATGGTTCAGGAGGGGGGGGGGCGCTAACTCATCCCTCCCCTCTTTTCTGATCTGCTGGGCTGCATGCTCGTATAAGGGTCTGGTATGGAATTGAGGGGGACCCCACACCACTTTTTTTTGACGTGGGGCTTCCCCTCTAAAACCATACAAGATCTGTAGGTCTTGTTATGGATGGGAGGGAGTACCCCACGCCGTTTTTTTAATTTATTATGGTGCTGGTTTTTAAATGTAATTATCGCTTTTTTTTTCCTTCACTTTAACTCAGAAATTCAGCTGTCACTTTCCCCCAGCTAAAAGAGAACATTTTCTTTGAGTTTATTTCCCCTAAAAGAAGCAATGTTTACTTTTAGTTTCTTAAAAGAAACAAAGTTTCCTGTAACTCCGGGGAAAGTGACAGCTAATCTTGTGAATTATAGTGAAGAAAAAAAAAAGGCTGGAATTTGCATTTAAAAATTTACACCGACATACACTTCGTATTGCGAAAAAAATTATTAAAAAATTTGTAAACCGAGGCATTATATTCAATGGATTTTCATTCGGAAACCGAAAATTATGTTAACCGAGGCGTTGGTACACCGAGGTACGCCTGTATTAGTATTGCAATCCTTTGTATTGGGATACATAGAACCAACTTAGGTTTGATTCACACCCCAGGGGACTTAGGTTTGATTCACACCCCAGAAATGTAGGCTGGAAGGGTGTCACAGCTCAGTGGATAAGTGGTTAGCATATACTGCCTCACAGCACTAGGGTCATTGGTTTGAATCCCAACCAAGCAATGAAGTTGCATGTTCTCCCTGGGCAGCTGCCCCAACGTAGATGTGCTGGTGGCAGCATCTTTGCTTTCTGTCTAAATGATCCCTAGAATGTGAATTAGAATGAGGCCTTGTCTGTTCAAACACTTTCAAAGCTACACCATATGTGAATTCAAACGATGGGATGAGAAAAGAGCCTGGACTAATGATTGATTTGATATTGCTGGTTTGCACTCCGCCCCCTTTTGGGAAGGGTTTGTCAAGCCAAGAGCTGAGAGAGCGAGAGAGAGAAAAGGATTTGAAGGGGAATACCCATGCCAAAATTTAATAAAATAATGGCATGGAGTCCCGCCCCAAATCCATGGCAGACCCTTATCCAAGCATGCAGATACCGCATGCCTTCAAAGATTTATTTCCTTTGTTGAATTGCCTGCTTGGTTCACACTAGATGCTATTTAAAATTGCGCTTTTTGTTGGCAATCGTCACTGTATTTTCTGTAGATTTCCCAACAAGTTATTGTGTTTTCAGTTGTGTTTTGCTTTTGCATTGCGATTTTTATTGTAGTCTATATGTGAAATCGCTACAAGATGCAGAAAAAGTTAAACATGAACTACTTTTGAAATTGTGCTGCAGCAAATCACGTATATTGAGACATCACGTTCACATTCATTAGATCCAAATATCCAGTACGATTTCAATTCCCAAATCGCACCTGAAATTGCGCACCCTTGATGCGACTTCGCATGCAATTTGCATGCCCTGCGACTTGCAAATTGCATGCCAAATTGCACCTGATGTGACCGGGGGCTAACACCACAGTCACATCTAATCCGATTTGGAAATCGGGCAACTTACAGTGAAGTCACACGATTTCAAAATCAGATTGGATGTGAATGGAGCCTGTAGCGGACAATAGGTTGCGACTTGGCCTACAATTTGCAAGTCGCCTGGCATGCAAATTGCATGCCAAATCGCACCTGATGTGACTGGGGGCCACCCTGGTCACATCAAAGTGGATTTTGAAGTGGTGCGACTTACAGTGATGTTGCACGATTTCAACATTGGATTTGATGTGAACAGAGCCTATAGCAGACAATAGGTTGTGACTTGGCCTACGATTTGTAAGTCGCCTGGCTTGCAGATCGCATGCCAAATCACACCCGATGTGACTTGGGGCCACCCCGGTCACATCAAAGTGGATTTTGAAATCGTGCAACTTAAAACATGGTCACATCAAGCCCAACTTTTAAAGCATGTGACTTACAGTGAAGTCGCATGATTTCAAAGTCGGGGGACATGCTGTTTTTAAGTGCAATTTGCAAGAGATCTCTTTGCAAATCGCACGAAAAGTAGTGTATTCACTATTTTATAAATCATTGTGGCTCTGACCAAGTTTGGACCACACCAATATGAATGC